GTAACAAATTATTTTTTTTTTGAATTTTTTTATAAAACATTTCAAATTTTTTATAAATATATAATAAATGGTTTTAAACTCATTTTTCTTATGTAAAATTTATTAACTGGAATAGGAGAATAGATTTTCTTCAAAATTCAAAATTGCTACTTTTTCTGCACTTTGCACTAAAAAATTTAATACAAACAAATTTTATTAGCTTTCATTAAAAAAAATGTATCAAATTGATTGAAAAATGAAGGCTTCAGTGAATTGTGAAAACTAAGTTTCAGCTTTTAACCACTGTGCAGCGGTTCTACCTTACAATATTTTTATCATGGTCCGCACTATATAAAATATATTTATTAATAGATGGCAAGTTTGAAAAATCCGTATCTCTTTGAAAATATAATTTTTTTTTGGTTTTGGAAAACAATAGGTACCTTTTTCCTCAGCAGAATCTCCCTTGTACTCGAAATATTTAGTTCAGTATTTTTCCAATTCGTTTATCATTAGGTTTCAACAAGTTGCTCAAAAGAGGCGAGGGAAGAAATTAAAAACGTCAATGATTTATCGAACTACCCTCTAAAAATCCTTTTGAAAACACAAATCCTCAAAAAAATCTCGAAGAAGCTTAATACTAAAATAAAGTATTATTGTTACTATTTGCATTTCCAAAAGTAGTGTAAAAAGAAATTTTGACAGCACTAGAAAAAAGGATGTTGATTGTGTCAAAATTACAATAAGCACTTATCTATTGAAATCACCTTTTTTTGTGGGACCATGTTTAAGAAGTACTAAAGAGAGAGAGACTAAAAAAATCTGTTTTTTTTTTTGTAAAGTGTAGGTACTTAATGCAGTTTACTAACTGTTTTGACGGGATTCTCTTTTCATTTCGACGGCTGAGTGAAAGATAGTCCCATCCCGGCTGCCGGTTCGAAAACGTGCTATCCCCGCACCGGCAGACGAGATAAGGCGATCGTCCACTCAGCCGACAATTCGTGGTTTTTCGCCGCCTCCGAATTGCAGAAGGTTTTTTACTAGCTATAGAGTTAGAGAAGGTTAATGGGCAAGTTGTGGGACAGTTAAGACGACGTATTTACACCCGGTGACCCGGAGAAAAGATATGGACATGTTTGTGGTTCAAAACTATTGGATAAGCACTCGGACCTTAGAATACCACTATACCTATGTACATATGTAAATATTTTATCAATGCTAAATATGATAAAAGTTCAGGATACAATTCTAATAAAATCTTTAAGTAAAAATCTTATTATGTTTAGTAATTGAGATGTTGTGCAGACTAGCCACATTTCTACCGAAATTACCAAGTTTTCCGACATCTACTTATTGAGTATTTACCCTTAACTCTTCTCTAGGAATAAATAGCACAAACGGACGATTAACCTTCACTGTTAATTAAATGGGATACATTTCGGCACACTCTCTACCAAGAGACTCAGCAGCCTATCACGCGTTGAAGGGACTGCAACTGAGTTTTGATGCCCAAAGCTTAGTAAACACAGGAACGCTTTTGTAACGATATCACATTTGCCTAACTCAATTAGACGAGTTGGAGAGATTTCTCTTAGCTTAAGCGTTAATTTCCAGACAAATTTTAATTTCTATTCATTCCTAAGTTTACAAAAAGGTCTGCCGTGACTGATTATTTAAATTTTCTCAATGATTTCTTCATTATTCAACTCACACAAACAGTACATACATATTTACATACATATGTATTTGCGCATACATTCACACAATTGTACGAAACTGCAGTGCCTTTGATAATTACTACGTTTTGTAGTTTCTATTTAAATCACAGCTAATTAAAAGCAAAAATGCACCGTTAAGTAATTAAGATTTTTAAAACGTACTGCAAATTTAGCAAGTGCATTTTATGAATACATTTTTGCACAACGTTATGAAGGAAAGTATAAAATAAATAAATTACAAAACATGTATTTTTTTTTTCAAAGTGGGTTTTCACAATTAGGGGATTCACAATCTTAAGCTTGAAATTTTTTTATGTAAAATAATGATTAAAATGGTATTAGAGGACTTCTAACTAGACCGAAATGTTTTAAACTGATAAAAACAATTTATAATGAGCTCCCATAAAACCCTTTTAACCTTTATTTTTTGCATACAAAAATTTTAAGCTTAAGATTTTACGACGGTGAACACGTCTTGTGCTCCGCTTGGGAAACCAATTATATTTAATTAAATTCGATTTTATTAACATTGATATGTACATATGTTAGTGGAAGGTACGAACACATCAACTTTAAATTACGCGCTTAGGCAAAAAAACCACTGCTGACCAGTGTAATTATTACTTGGAGCGAAAAAAATTAAAAATCTCAAAATAATTATTAAATACTGATTTAAATTATTTTACCTACTTATAATAATTACGATCCCTGAAATTTACATACAAACTATTAACGCTTGTTCCACGGCGTGCTAAGCCGTTATCGTTACGTTTTCCATATTGCGCTATTGATATCGTTGTCGTTTTTGTTCCCGGTATCGCATTAGCAATCGTCGTCTTTTTCCAATTGCCATATTTTTAGTGTACATATGTAATGCTGTAAGTAAGCCCTGTTAAAAGCTTAACACGACTTTTGCTTTTAAACGCTTAAATGGTGTTAGACTGTAAATATGTACCAGATGTCATAGACGCCCTAATGCCATACCCTTTACGCATTTGAGGAATAAATAATTTACAATAAAATTTCTTTGTCATATAAATACTTATGTACATAAATTTACTACACACTTGTATTCATAAAGTTAATTATGTAAGAATAAAAGAAGAGATACTGCTTTTTACGCTTTAAATGTTTATAGCATTCAAGTATTAAATCAACATTTTGTTATTGTACAATAACTACCTTATTTAACACACAATTAAATTGCCAACATTGCATGTCTAGATTCACCGTTTAACTCCCTTTACTTTACCAATAATATGTCTACGCATTTTAGGGTGATCAAAAAAAAAACTAACCCAACGAATTTATGTTCTTAAATAGACCTATTTACTGAGAAGAAATTTTAATTTTTTTTCAATGAAAGCTAATGAGAGAACCTTTATTTGTTTTCAACTAGTTTTTAATTTTTAACATTTATTAACTAGTACAGAAGAATCGATTTTCTTCAAAATTTCTGTTTTTTTTTTGCACTTTGCACTAAAAAATTTGATACAAAAATACAAAACCTCTAAAGTCGGACTCAACGGTCTCTTGCAAATCTTATTAGCATTCAATAAAAAAACGTATCATATTGAGTGAAAAATTAAGGCTCCAGTGAATTGTGGACACAAAATGTCAATTTTGAACCACTGTGCGTCGGTTGGTATTCGAAATTTTCCATCTAAATGATATGAATAAATAGTTTTTCATTCAAAATGCTATAACTATTGAACCGTTTGCGGTAATAATTTTTCTAGGCATATTCTTTTACCGCATTAAATTCCTTAAAATTTAAATAAAAATATATCCAATTTGGAGAATTTTCTTCTCAGTGAATAGGTCCTTTTAAAGCCATTAATTCGTTAGGTTCGTTTTTTTTCAGATCACCCTAATGCACATATATGTACATAAGCATGTATAAATAGCATTTGAGGTATTTACTTGTATGTGGTCAGCGAATTCACAGCTTCGTTGATTGATTATGGATCATAAATATTTACAATATTCAAACTGCTCTTGTAAAAATTAATAACAATTGCATTTGCCGGGTACTTATTGTAGTTAATTGCTCTTTTTTCCACCTCGCGACCTCGCTAATTGCCCTTCAAGTATTAGTTATATTCAACTCAACCAATTGTAATTCAACGGTTGCAAAAACGTGAGTCCGGCATTGAGTGCATTTGTTTTCCCAGATTATTGACTGAACAATTCATGTCTGTTGCACAATAAAACAAATACATTTTTTATTTAAATAGAATACGTACTCGTACTACCTAGGGCATGATATTTTTACAGTTTAATCACCCGATAGCTGATTTATCAGGCAGCACGAGCCAAAATTTCAATTTGTTTCTCTCGTGACAGATATACATACATACATACTTGCATGCATACATACTTACATACAAATGTTTGTATAATTGCAGATACTTATGACGATAATTTTTTAAATTGCTAGTATCAACATAAGTATGTACAAATGACAATGATTATAAAATAATAATATTGGCAATAGATAATTGCCTTTATCGTAGAATTTTATTTCACATGAAGCTCTTTACATTTCCAGTTGTTTTTATTGACAACACTTTTTGCGGGTGAATGGATGCAATTTGCAAAAGAAGTTTAATAGCTTTTTCCAGCTGCGTTATTTTTTATGTAATTCTTATTAGGTAAATAGAGTATGTACAAAAAACTGTACGGATAAAAACTAGTCTACATATTGTTCACCTGCGGTTCTTTATGCTATCCAAAACCTGATTCCATTGACATAAAGAATAATGAAAAACTGACACCACAAAACGTTCAAATGCCGAATAGGAACTTAGTTTTGCGAATTGTCAGCAAAAGTCAGCCATATTCCCATATTTTCCAAATTCAGACACCGTAAATAAAAGTTATTTTTAACCGACTTTAAAAAAGGAGGAGGTTTGCAATTCGTCGGAACATTTTTTATACATATGTTACCGCATAACTTTGGACCACGTTAACCGATTTCTATAATTCTTTTTTTTTTTAAGGAAAGTTGGTACCTCAGAGATGGTCCCACACTAATTTGGTTTAGATCCGATATCTGAGAATTTAACTCGTGTTTTTTTTTGCTTAAAATTATAAAAATACGGTTCGGAGGTAGCTTAAAAGTACAAGTCCTTCTAAGTAGTTCTAAGACATCAAGACACACATAACATCTTCTAGGACAAACTCGGCCAAACACTTAGCAAACGTGTAATCGCCAAATTTTATTTTTAAATTTTTTATTAATTTTTATTAACTGCATAGCAACATTAACCAACGCAAACTAAAACATTTTATTTTTTCCAGACGCATCGCAAAGGCTGGACACCACTGTTGGCGTTGATATGTGTAGCAACAACTTTTGGTACAGCAATACCTGTAGGCTATTGCCTCGGTGTTATGAATACACCCGCTGAGGTATGTAATTTGTAAAGCAAATACAAATTTTATTGCGTAACTATTATGTATTTAACTGTTGTTTTCTATACATACGCTCTTTTCCACAGTATATTAAAGTCTGGTGCTTAGATGCCTTCGTAATACGTTACGACGTCGAACTGAGTCCCTCTCAGCTAGATCTGCTGTGGTCGGCGATTGTATCTATATTTCTTATAGGTGGCATATTTGGTTCATTTTTCGCTGGCGCTTGTTGTAATCGCTTTGGAAGGTAAAGAAAATATTCGTTTACTACATATTTGTTTTTGTTGTTTTCTTAGGCTACCACAAATATATTTTTCGTCAAGCAAGTTGACGCTAACTTAAAGTATTAAGTAAATTAGTAGAGGGCGTTCTAACCAAATGAGTGCGTCGGATCTTTTTGCTTATCGAAGCTCGGCCAGATTTGTCGAGTTGTCCCACACGCGGATTTTTCCGACCATCTTATATTTGCCTACCTGACGAAGTGTGGCTTAAGCCATGTCTGTCTCTGTGACCTGACATCCGCGTAATATGGGTAGCATGCTTTGAAGCTAACTCTTTTAGGAATTTTTTACGGTCTATCGCATTTTTTGACTAGCTTTGAAAGCAAACCCGTGACTTAATAACTGCTTGGTATCGGTGTATATGATTACTGAAGGCAGGTTAAGAGACGATTCGATTATCCAAAGTACAGCCTCTTTTATGGCCGCGAGCACTGTTTGGCAGCCTAAAGCAGAGGTCTAATGAGAGGTCTTGGGTTTAGTTTATTTAGGACCATACGTATAGACGGCTGTAGGTTTATATTAAAGGTCCTAGATCGAATTATGTTCCCAGTCCTTTCTCGAAGGAATATGAGGGAAGAACTTGTGCGCGAAGCCTTACTATATTCAAATTTAGCGTACACTTTTTTCGTAAACAAAATTTAACCCTTTGCCACCTACTTATCATAATGAGTATTTTCAATTTGAAGAATTTCCATGACAGTCAACAAAAACGGTATTTAGAGGTTTAAAATGTTCAGCAAAAGTGTTAAGCAGAAAATTTTACTAACGGGCAACGAAAAGACTGAAATTTATAATGAAAATAGTCGATTTCGACTAAGTAAGTCGTTTAACCCACTTAACATCAGTCATAAGGTTATTGTACTTTTGGGTCTTTCAGTGAAATCCTTCAACTAAAATATTTTTTTGGGTTACTGGGTTAAAGCTGATATTTCTAATTAACTGCTTCAAGCAAGGATCAAAAAGAGCCGTAATCGGAGCAGTTAAAGGGTTAAAAAATTTCAAAAAAAAATTGATTGCTTACTTTTACGATATGCAAGTCTTTGGAGATAAGAATTACCTGATTTATACATAAAAATATAGGTAGAAAAAAATCATTCTCGGGTTTCAATAACATGCAAAGAAACTAGCATTTGGACATTGATTTGTTAATGTACTAAAGAAGACCCTTAAAATTGCCCCACAGTGCAATCTTAATTTTTGAAGTCGAAATATTGTCGTACCATTAGCAAATACACTTATTTTAATCTTTTCCGCTTCTTAATAATTTCTTTACTATATTTTGCGCTCATTTTACTATTTACAGAAAGGGATCACTACTGGTCAGTGCATTCCTGCTGACAGTCTCGGGCATCCTCTTACACTTCTGTCGCATGACAGACTCCGTTGAGATGCTGCTGATCGGACGCTTTATTATTGGCATTGCAGCCGCGATTACCTATACAGTACATCCAATTTACTTGCTGGAGATTTCACCTACTCATCTGCGTGGCAGTGCGGCAGTTTTCACGTCCATCGGTGTGACAGGCGGCATTTGTGTGGGACAAATTTTCAGCTTGCAACAAGTATTCGGCACCGAAGACCTATGGCAGTTTGCGCTCAGTTTCTATACTGTTTTCGTAGTTGTTAGCTTTTTGCCGGTCTTCTGGTTTCCAGAGTCGCCACGTTGGCTATATTTGATGCGTCAGAATGAGCAGGCAGCACGCAAGGAGTTGCAACGGTTGCGCGGCAAAAATTCCGATGCCTGTGTGAATGCCGAAATTGCAGATATGAAAGAGTTGGCTGCTTTAGCGTCCAGTGAGAAAATGAGTTTTTTGGCGGTGGTGAAGAATCCGGAATATTTGTTGCCGCTAGTAATTTGTTGCTCGTTTCCATTGTGCCAACAGTTGAGTGGCATCAATGCAATCTTCTTCTATTCGGTGAGAATTTTCATGAAGGGCGGCTTCTCGCTGGAGATTGCAACATGGATGAACTTTGGTGCTGGCATCCTGAATTTACTATTCGCAGCCGTGAGTCCTGTGATGGTGCAAAAGTTCGGTAGGCGACCGCTGATGATGTTCTCCTCCGGTGGGTGTGGCTTGTCACTTCTCGGCATGGCCTTTGCTTTGAACTACATTGTAAGCATGCTATTGCATATACTATGTATATATATATACTTACATACTTACATGCCTACTTAAACTTATACTAAGCCAAGTCTTTTACAACATCTTAGGATCGCGTTAGCTGGTTGCCCATTATTTGCATTGTCTTTATTGCTTCGTTCATATTCTTCTTCAATGTGGGCTTGGCGCCTGTTCCCTATTTTGTCGGCGCAGAGCTGTTTGAAGTAGAATCGCGTTCGGTGGCCATGTCCATGGGAAATTGCTTTTCTTGGAGTGGCAACTTTATGATTGGCATGTTCTTTCCTATGTTGGAGGCTGTTTGGGGTTCTTACGCCTTTCTACCGTGTGCTGTTATGTGTCTGTATTGTTTCCTGCTGACGTGGCGTTATCTGCCCGAGACTCGCGGAAAAGATGTCGCAGACGTAAAACCATTGATGTCCAAAGGTTTTCGGTCAAAGGTGCATTAATGAGTGATATATGTATGTGAATATATTTATAAACACTTCACCTATCAGTACCGTGAGTACAAGTATATGGGAAATCCAGTTACTAAAGTTTGACATTTTAAGCTTAATTTTAAGTTTATTATTTGTAGAATTAAATATCGCACGTCTCTTGTACATACTTATGCATGTAAATAATTATTTATTCCTTTCACCTGACATATTTAAAACTTTGTGCCACAGCTTATTCATTTAAAATTTAAGATATTTTTGCCACAAAAATGTATAGCAAAAAATGTTAAAAAATAAAAACTTCGTAAAAATATACTGCAAATACTCGCATTTATTACAATTAATTTTTAAGTTCGTTCCAGTCTAATGTACAGTAGGAAAAGGACACCATAAATACAAAATAAATAAGAGGTCTGTTAAAGCTAAAAAGCATGTGAGTTAAAATATATGTACATTAGGGTATCCCGAAACGAAACTCGATACGCATACCCCTTTCTTTTGTCCTAAATAACAAATATATAAAGTTTTCTTATTATTAACCCAAGCCGACTTGCAGCTGAAGTTTACGTTATACCTACGGTGACCAGGTTTCCGTGGCCAAAAAGCGGGACATTTCTAAAGCATCGATTCCGAACATACAATTTTGTTTTTATACCCGAGCGTACTTGTGCACAAGGGTATATTAATTTTGTTCACATAACGGTTGTTTGTAACAGCCAAAACGAATCGAGATAGATATAGACAAATGTATACATAAATGATCAGGATGAAAAAAGAAATCGATTAAGCCATGTCTGTCTGTCCGTCTGTCCGTCTGTCCGTGTACACGATAACTCGAGCAAAAATTGAGATATCTCAACGAAATTTGGTATGTAGGTTTCCCTTAATCCAAGGTAGGTTGGTATTGAAAATGGGCGAAATCGGACTGTAACCACGCCCACTTCCCATATAACGGTAATTTCCAGAAATACGAAAACTGCGATATTTTTGTAACTACTGAAAATAATTCACTCAAAATTGATATTTACAATAATTTTTAGACGAAAAATAAGAGTATTATAAATTTTTGGAAAATGGGCGTAGCCACGCCCACTTATGGTTACATGTGTATATCTTGGTAACCGCTACACCAATTTCTTCCAAACTTGGCACAGTTGTTGGCCTTCGCACAACATATCTAATGGCCGAAAATTTTTAAAATCGCTCAATAACCACGCCTACTTCCCATATAACGGTAATTTTCAGAAATACGAAAACTGCGATATTTTAGTAACTACTGGAGATTATTCACTCAAAATTGATATTTATAATAAGTTTTAGACGAAAAATAAGAATATTATAAATTTTTGGAAAATGGGCGTAGCCACGCCCACTTATGGTTACATGTGTATATCTTGGTAACCGCTGCACCAATTTCTTCCAAACTTGGCACAGTTGTTGGCCCTGGTACAGCATAAAAAATCGCCGAAACTTTTTAAAATCGGACAATAACCACGCCCACATCCCATATAACGGTAATTTAGAGAAATACAAAATCTTCGATTGAAGCTAATTTATTCAAAATTGATGCTTGCAACAATTCTTTACCAAGAAATACGTTTATGGTAAAATTTTGGAAAATGGGCGTGGCACCGCCCACTTATGATCACATATAAGTATATCAGTAACCGTTCTACCAATTTGTACCAAACTCGGTATGGTTATTGTACTTGCCACGTGTAAGCAAAACGTTGAAAATTATTGAAATCGGACTAAAATAACGGCCGATTCTCATATAACGGTAAATTTAAGAAATGCTTGAAACTTCAGTATTTCGAAATTGAAGGACGCTAATTTACTCAAAATTGATACACCCCGGCTTACCATCTAGCGGAAGGTTTCGGAAAGGTGAAAAAACATATATTTAATATTTGCGCCGGGTATTTAATGTTCGGCTCCGCCCGAACTTAGACTTTCTTACTTGTTAGAATAAATAACATGACATCTTTTAATATAGTTTTATTTAAAACAAAACAAAGAGAAAAAACACGAAAAATTATCTCTAAAATGCATACACACAATATGTATATACGGTGGCGAGAATGTAAATAGGAAAAAAATATTTAAGGAACTTAGCTTTGTTCAAAAAATTTTTATTTATTTTTTTAAAAAAATAACTTACTATGTAAAAAAACATGTAAATCAAAATTTCAAACTTTGTAGAACATTTAAAAAATTCGATGAGTTTTAACAAATTCTAGAATTGTTTTGAGAATGCAGTTTTGTATCCCATTGAATTTTAGAATAATAAAGTGCAAGTTTGAAGTAGCTTGAAATTGCCGTTGATTTTTGGAAATTTTTCGTTCGCGCATTTTCTTCCATAAAAAGTATGTTCAAATATTTTTTGTATGGAGAAAATGAGCAACACCTTCCCAAAAAAAATCTATTACAAATCAACGGTAAATCCTAGCTACTTAAAATTTGCACTTCGAATTGAATGGGCTACAAAACTGCATACTCAGAATGTTTCTAAGAAATCTAATATGGCAAATATGGTTTTTGCTCTAATGCTTACTACCTGTTTGATATGTCTTGCTTTTAGTAAAAATTACCAACGAGAACATAAGAGTGATTCAGTTAAATTTTGTTGTGTATACGCCGTGTGACACTCGCTACCAAAAAATGGCATAAACAGAAATAAGGAATTCGCCGACAGGGCCTTATGTAAGCCCAATTCCGAATGGACTATCATTTCTTATTATAAGGCCTTATGTAAGCCTTATTTTGCACAGCAGATAATCCATATGCATAAAGGTGTCTCTCAAAATACGGCAAAATCAGGTGTAAAATAGGCGTTGCGCCATACAACTGGTATTCCATATTATCGAAAAAGTTTGAAATCGGGGAAAATCGTTAATTTTAAGTAAGTATGTATATAAATATTTATTTATTGCTTACAATGTTTGTAAAACGAAGGATGTTATTAAGTAACTTGACAGCTCATTCAGAATTGTGATTATAATAATTTATTTTTGAGGATATATATTTTTTTATCGGTACATGGTAATTTGAAATTAGAGAAACCGTTCCATGCGAGGCTTCCTTTCATTGATTCAGATGAAATTTATCGCTTTTAAACACTGATTAATATTTGGAATATTTTAAGCGTTTTGAAAAGAGTTGCCACTTGTTTAAAATGTTAAATTCAATTTTGACGTTTTAATGCCATATGGGTTCACTAGTAATAGATATAGTAATGCGGGTAATAGAGGAAGAAGAAGTTTCACTTCAATTGCGCGTGGGATCCACACACATTTTTTTTAAAAACATGTGCCTATGTTTTAATATCGCTCACATATCATAATCATTGTCATAATCAAAAAAATAAAAAATAAATATATATATACATATATGTCTATGCAATAATAGAGTTAAGTATGGAGATATTACCGTTACCTCTTTTTCTATGTGGTTGATTACTCTGTAAATTTCATAGCTGTGCTGATTATCAATAGCTCACTAGAGCAAAATATGTATTAAGTTTTACTACGGGAGTATCGAGTTTCGCGATTTGATTAAATGAGCGATATATACATATGTTCTGGGTTACGCTAAAATGTTAGAGAAAACCATTAGGAAAACAAAGTTTTAATACCTTTTTTACCGACTTCAAAAAAAGTAGGAGATTAATAATTCGCCAGATAATTTTTTACATTTTCTACACTAATCGATTTCTATAATTACTTTTTTTTTTTTTAAAGTGGCACTTTAGAGGTAGTCCCATACTAATTTGGTTTAGATCCGATCATTGGATCTCGAAGAAATTAGCGGTAATTTTAAATTTTTCTATGAGAATTGAAGTCCATTTGGTTTTTTGGTTAAAAATTACTCTTTTATCAAACACTTGTAAACGTACATATGAATGTACATATAAGTATTACCAAAACATCTTTGTGTAAGCATGTGCAGTTATTGTGGTTTCAAGTATTTCTTACTCGTATATAAATATATTAACGATGTCACGTTTTGCCAAGAATTCCAAATGCAATTAAAGCTTAATATTGTATATTTAAACAAATAAGCGGGAAGCACGTTGTGAAATAAAAACAGGAATAATGTGGAGCCGATTTTAAAATTAGCTCAACTTGTTTATTCAATATTTAACCGATACTGATAACCCAATACACATTGGGGTAATGCACCAAGTATTCAATACGTGGACCAGTGATGTGCATGTCTATGTAAATACTTAAGTAATAGCTTAAGTTGAGAAGCTGACCTTAGCATAATTCGCCAATAATTGTATTACTTAACCACAACGAATTTTTTATGACACTTGCTGCGAATATTGACAGCAAGTTGCTGGCAACAAAATTATTTCTTTCGGGTTTGTTTGCCAATAATTTTACAATTACAACGCTTTTATCAACTTTCAATATTGTGTGTCCAGACAGCTTTGCAAAGTTCCTATAAAAAGTCTAGACATCAACCTCGTCGGTTGAGAGGTAGATGTCGCCCTATGCACTATGTACGCTACAGCGGAAATGGACGACACGGAATTTCTTTAAATGAATTTAATTGGTGCTCGTTTGTATGTACATACATATGTATATGCATGTGTGTGCACCAATCTATTAATATCGTCGAATTATTTTAACATCTATTTCAAAATTTTATACAGACAAGAATAAAAAGTAGAAAATAAATAATATAAAAAAGAGAACTTTTTAAAATACAACGCTTTTATAAATGGAATAGAAAGTAGAAAATAATATTTCTCAGTCCCATAGAATTTGTTTTGATAACTTTTGATTTAGAAATTTTAGCAAAAGTTATTATAAACCACATAAATGGCCACATAAATGTACTTATGCCTAAAAACTTAACTTTGATTTTTAAGAGATGCTAAAAACTAAATACTTAAGTACTTAGGTATCTAGTAGATTTCTATATAATAACACCATGCAACAAATGGTGCAACAACAATGCCGATTCTGGCATTGAAAGATCTTTACAGAGTAATTCTGATTAAGATAATAAAAAGTTTTTCATAAAACAAATAAGAAAGAATGCCTTACAGAGAAACTAATGTAGAATGCCTGGACAAGTACATACTTTTGTATATTAAATTGAAAACAGAAAATACAGATTGTCTTAAAAGATTAAAATTAATTAAAATGCTGCATACAAAAAGTTTGTTTTAAAATTCTGAATAAAAAGTAGTCCCATATGCGTCGAAAACGACGCCAGAGGATCGCCAACGTAACTTTTTTAATAACCTAAAAAATAAAAATTGTAAAGAATGAAAATGAGTTTAAATTAAGCAAATTATTGAGCAAATTATTTCAAAGGCGAGAAATTTAATAAATTTCAAGCCACGCGTTTTCATAAAAATATAACAGTTGTATAGCTTTTGCGTCGTTTTCGACGCGAAGAACAGATGAAGGTTAATTAAACTTAAAATTGTACTTACTCACTCATGTACTTCACTTCCTTGACTGACTTCAAGTTCGCTGAAAAATTAAACAAAGCAAAACATAATCAGGGCTGCCAACTATGCTTAGCTATGGACTGCCATATTTAGGATAGAAAAGTGCTAAAATGTGCCAAATAGAGAAATAAAAGTGCCATTAGTTCTTCCCATCTGGCATTAAAATTAAAAACACATTCCTAAAACAAAATTCCAATGCCAAAGTAAGATAAACCAGTTGTATACACTATAGAAATTAGAAAACTTTAGTCGAGAAAAAGAAGTACTCGCAGAGGATTTCACAAAAATGTACTGAAATATTACTATTTTTCCAAAGTGCCATTTTGGCACTTCGTGCCAAATTGAAAAATTAAGCGCTATTTGAAATAAAATAGGGCCAAAAATGGCACGGTTTGAACCAAGTTGGCAGCCCTGAACATAATTTGTATGCCATGGAATTTTCCACAGAAAGTAACGGTAGAAAAGAATTTTTAAGTATTCATTATATTTTTCAGCTGACTACGGTGAAGCATTTTACTTTGCACTTCCCGCTATTAATCAAAGCAGCGAAATTAATAAAATATTGTGGAACATCCCAGTGAAAAAATGTAATGTATAATAATCGAAAAAAATTATCAGTAAAACAACCCATTTCACATTCGAAAATGCATTTTTTTCCCCAGGGCGATGTCCTAAGAAAAGTAGGGTATACAATTTTGCATTACCTTGTATCGAGAAATGAAGGACATTGCAAGGCAATGCGTTCTACAAATCGAGTGCTGTAGTGTTGGTGGAAATTCAGCATTTGAAAGCCCATGTCTGGCTGTAGCTGAGTGCGCAAAGATACTTGCCACAATTTGTTGATCCAGAGGGGGTCAGAGTTGGAATTCCATTGCAGGCAACATGAAAATTAATTTTTTTTTTTTGGCTTTTATCTTGATTATTCACTTCACGGATGCTTTTTCAGAACGAAAGCGGTAATTTTAATATGCGCATAGTTGAATTGAATACAATACTTTCGTTGACGTTTATAGTAAGACAAACTACGTTTCTGATTGATTTTAATATTTGTTTCTTTCAGTGTACTATGCCAGCTTTTGTGCCGGTAAATCTGCATTCGCAGAAAGCATTGGTATTTTGCTTTCATTTTAAGAAAAGTGCAGCAGAATGTCGTTGGATGCTGTGCGAAGCTTACGGATAGCATGTTCCATTAAATTCAACTTGTAAGTACCGGTTCCGACGTTCCAAAAGTGTTGATTTTGACACAACCGACAAGGAGTGCGAAGAAATGTCTTCAACGCCGGAATTTTAGACGAATGCCCATGTCAAATCCAAGAACAACAGAAGTAAACATCGTCAAAATTTTGTAGTTCGGCGTTATGGAACACTATACTTTGTACGTATGCAAAGCAATTGGCGTTTTGGATGTCAGCCCAACTATACACAAACTTGGAAACTTTTAAACGACGATTTTGGCCGTAATTTTCAACTAATTTTGAAACCGCATTTGAAAAACTCTTCTCATCTACAAAAAAAATACCATTCCGACGGTGTAGATTATTCAGGCAGGTTATGTAATTCACTTCCGAGTGAATTTCAACCAATGTCACTTTGAATTCAAATTGAATGGGATTGAAATTCACTCGGAAGCAAACCACTGAACCCGCATGATTACCTTTTGCTACTGCCAGATTTTTTTTATTTATTTATTGTGCAAAGAAAAAGCATAGTTTGAATGGCACAGTCCAATATTATTTGAGTTTACTTAATAAGTATAAACGCCGACTCATTCATTTGTAGCACAGGTAAATACTCAATGACGTGGAAAGATCTGCGCAGAAGCGTCCTTGGCGCTCCTGAGTGGAATCAATTAAAAAATCGTCATAAGCACGACGTCAAAACCGAGGGAATACCACCGCGCTGATGAGAAAATTTTCGAACTCTAGAAATGATGATCGTGGCCAAATAGCATCAGTAGCAATCTCTCGGGCGAACGTTGAAAAACAACAGCGTATCGGCATCGGAAAAACGTGGCGTGGTAGTGGTGCGGATGTCTGCAGGCGTTCGATAATTTTTCTTTTTTTTTTGGTTTCCTTGGTTAACCGCTTAACAATATCTGTTTCGGCTATTAAGTGTGAATTTAGCCTAAGCCTTATCATTTGTTTTGAAAATGTGTATAGTAAATATTTCGTTAAATAGTGAGTTTGGAAAAAGTTATCTTTGTTTATATGTTTATATATACATATGTACATACTTAAATGTGTGTAAAAGAAATATGTAAAAAATAAAGAAATCTGTTGTTAACTGTTTGAAATAAAAAATGCTAGCGAAAGCCGCAACATTTAAAAATGAATGGGAAAATATAAAATAAATTAGACTAATGCATTTATTGTAAATATAATGAAATTTTAATAAATCAAATAACTACATATGTACATCGAATTGAAATTGCTGCCAATCAAAGCAATCAAATGGATACCAAGTAAATATGCAATCTCCTGCTCATATACATACATATGTACATATAGTCTTCTTAAGTAAAACCAAAGAAAGTTTATTTACTATGGATAAACACTTGCGTGCAAGAGCATCTGTATGTACATACATACATATGTATGTGTATCTGTATTGAATTAAGAGAAGATTGTTTTTATTTTCTGTTATGACGTCACTTGAACTCTTGGGGCATACAAGTGCAACTAAAAATACACGCAAATAAATCTATGCGTATGCACAATCGAAACATGTATGTATGTATGTATGTAGGTACATATAAACACGTGCTTCTTTTGTATACATAAATGTGTTTTCTTAAGTGCATCGAATAGCACTAGCGATCGTATTCATTATTATCTTACTTTTCAGTTTTATCTTTTGAGTTTCATGAGTTTCGCCCGTAAATTAAAGGACCGATAACTTAAGACACCGTCAAAGATGGCAAGTAAAGTACTTTAACAAATGATGGTTATTCTTGTTTGTGTCGGTGATAACACCGTCGAAGGTAAAATTTACACACACAAAAATCAATAAAACTCTCGAAACTAGGAACCAAATATTGAAGTACAACTGTGTTCTTAGTATTTCTCTCTGGCGTCGGGATATTTTTAACAGTTTTACGCCGACTTCGAACGGCGATTGTATTTATAAGAGAAGCTGTCTTGTTCATGGCAGTAATACATACACATACATATGTATGCCAGCATTTTCTATTGCGGAAGTTACTAATTCGATACGACATTTCTGTGAAAATCATCGCCGATGATATCGCTACTTTTTCGAATTCTTATCCGCTTACAGGAAGAACTGTTCCACCAAGACCTCACGTCTTTATGAAACGAAAGCGATACAGCAATTCGGAACTATTTCGATATGAATAAGAGTAACTTATGCGATAAAGTTGGAAGTGTTAAAGAAGTTTCTTGTATTGGTTAAATTTTTGATAAAACGTAATGAGAAATTTGGGATACCTTTGAGCTTGCAACCAAACTGAAAGTACCAAAATGAAGCTATACGTAGATACTCCCTTTCTACAATAACTACTACTTTTTAAATTTTTTTGGTTTCTATTCAATATGTTTATATATATGGATGGATGGGGCCATTCACATCAAATGTCCCAAGCGCGCTGAGCGGTGCAAAACAAACTAATTTTCGACTAGCTGGGAAGCAGCCAGAAAATGGGAAAAATAATTCGAAAACTATGATTTCTATAGATTCTTCACTTTCATGGTGAAAATTCTGAACGAAAACTTAATTGTTTGGAAATTTTTAATATTGTTTTTAGTTATCATGTTGTGCTTGTAGCCGAGTGCACATAGATTCTTACTACAATAAGTTGCGGCCAAGAGTATCCAGGTTCGAATCCCATTAGGCAAAACAATAATTTTAAATTTATATTTTCGGTTATTTTAAATTATGAAAAAGTATCTGTGAAGTCCACAACGAAAAAAGTGGTTCTTTTACAGGCTACTAGTTACGCAGCGGTAGTCAATTGTCACCTTCTAGGATAACGCCATGTTAAATACGACAGTGGATAGATGGTAGATTTGCGAGGTACCGGTATTCGTATCCCGAAAATTGGTGAAGTCACTAGTTCTATACTAGTACTTCCGCTGTAGGTTATGTAAGGGCCAACAAATTTTTATTTGTTCCAAACGGTGTTGAACATGAATGTTAGGAGAGTATTTTAGGAATGTAAAAATATTTTTACCTTCTTCAAATACTCGAATAATAAGTGTTCATCATCGCTTAGAACAAATTGAGCTTTTTTTCTAATACCCTCTGATGTGCATATTCATGCAAATATTTATTTTTTATACGCAACTACATCCACTGCCACTTCAGCTAGACTGGCTATTACTAGACATGTATGTATTAATAGCGTCATCGTCCTCAGGATGTAAATTTTGAAGGCATCTCATTTCTTTTCCGGCGCTGACGTGCTATCGTTGACGTACTAACTTTGTCGCCACTGTTTACAACGTACATGCAAGCGCACATACATATCGTCGTTTAAAGTACAAAACCGCGTAACGGACATTTTTTGCCGAAAATTGGATTTGCTCACCGAAGCTCTTGGCTCAATCCTTATCCATTCGTCCTGAAATATACTAGCCAGAAATGCGATTGCTTTATAAAAAAAGAGAACCATTTTGAAAGATGAGTATTTTTACTCTCTAGAAAATAATTGATGCAATCACATATGCGATTTTGTATTTTGTTGATATGCGGTTTTGTACTTTAAACGTCGATATGTAGGCCGCGGAAGAAAGTCAAAAGTATACGTTGCTCCAGATGTAATGTTTTGTTTGGAAACTGTAAATATACAAAAGTATGTAAATATACATGCATATACTAAGTATATTCCCATAAATACAAAACTTGTAAATACATGTGCATATGTATTTGCATTTGTAATTTACAACAGAACTACTAGTAATTTAGTGTGAAGTAAAATGTATGCCGTTCATTGGGATTTGGGTCATAACCACATTTATTAAGGACATATAAATTCACCAGTTTTACAGTACTAATAAATAAAATTATTTAAATGCATATGTCGGTGTGAATTGTGAAAATTATTGGTCAATATCCTAGGCTCGCCCAAGCCCATCAAATTTCAAGTATCTACTAAAAAAAATTTTTTCTTAGCGATTCTCTACAAAAAAGGTCCATATACTAAATTATGTAGAACTAATACTTTAGAAGATTATTGCAATTTCAGTAAAAAAATGTATTAATTAATTTTAATTTTTTGAGCATATTGAACTTTGATAGACTTTGGCGAGCCTAGGATATTGACCAAAAAATTCCAAATTTCAGACAGATTTTTTTTTTTTTTTACATAATGAACCATATTTTTGCTATTACCAATCAAAATTCTAAAAAAGCGGATTTTCGGTCCACGCTAGTGTGTATGTATGTGCATGTCATACTTCTTATAGAATTTAAATCAGAACTGAAATTACTGTCTGGCTTTTTCCTAATTGCAATTTTTTACTAGTAAAGTAGTCCAAAAATATAGCTATGTATGTGTACCATAACATGATCGTAGTTGTACGTTTCTCTTTCCCAACCAATTGGAAAATACGCATTCGTTTTAAAAAGCTATACATGCATACGTACATTTCTTTTGCGAAAAGTCATTGAACGAAAATTAGTACCGACATACTTTATTGTTGGTGCACATGTTTTGTCACAAATTTGCCGGTTGCGTCTGTCACCTAATAAATGGCTTGATAAGTAACATATGCATGGCTATTAGGGTGGCCCAAAAAAAGTAAAGTCGAAATTTTAATGTTGGCATCCCCTAGAATTTCTATACCAAAAAGTTTGCAATCAAAAAACAATGAATGAACAATGGAAAAACAATGTTTCTTGGAAATGGATAGAATTCTTGAAAAACAATATTTTTCGATCGGAAAATCTGTTTCTCTCTAGGAAGCGGAGTCGGCGTAAAACTGTATGTGTGTGTCAACATAAAGGTACACGCCACAAATCGGAGGAGAAGCTCGGCCAAACACTAACATATTGCAAGCGCCAATCTATTATTATTAAATAGTTACCGTATTTAAAGTTATCTAATTTGGGTGCAATATTTTTTAACAAAAAATTTAAATTTTTTTATCACAACTTTCGCTTTGAATCATCCAAATTTTTGTCCCTTAAGGAAACTCCATGCACTTACATATACATACGTGACAAGGATCTACTCATTGCCTTCTTATGTTCGACGATTAATTCCTGCTGATAAGAATGTTTTTAAAAGTTAAAGAAGATAATCAGTAAAATAATAGATAACAATGGGCAATACAATCACAAAAACAAAAACAGAAAACACTTTTTAAAAAATAAATAATAAAAAAACAAATGTGATGAACTGTAATAAATTTTATAAATGAACGCACACAAATCTAAACATGAAAGAACTAAAATAAAATATTATCATAAAACTAAAAATGTTGGCTAAATAAAAGATTTTCTCAAAGATTAGTGAAAAGACGAATATTTATCTGGCTTCTTGTACAGAATTTGATGATTTTATTGCATACATATATTTTGTGTACATACATATCTATGAATGTGATCATAAATTTCAATTCATATGTATGCGTTTGTATGTAAATTAGGGATGCCAAGATTTCAGGAAAATTTTGATCCCGGGATATCGGGATACATTTTCAGTAATCCCGGGATCCCGGGATTTTTTCATAACTTTTATCAATATGAGTAAAAATTCATTATCTGAAAGCTTTTAAACATACCATGAAATAAAACTATTAAAAATTTACGATAAACTGATTGTGTAACTCACATATTTATTAAATCAGAAACAACTAAAGTAATAAATTTTTTTAATTGCATTTAAAAAACCATGTGATTGAGGATTGCATACATCACAAATAACAATGTAAATACCAAGTACTTCTGAAAGTAATGATTAATAAAAAAAAACTTAAACAAAAATATGCAAAAACAAATTCTGTTAACATGTTTATTCTACTCCATACAGTAATGGCGAATTTTTTGTCATTTTTCCGCAATTAACTCGAAATTTTGAGGGTGAACGAGTCGAACGGACCTCAGATTCGGACTCACCGGATCGAAATACACGTCGGTGGGTGGGTGTGGTTAGAAGCAAAAACTAATAATTGCATAATTGGCAATTAATAAATAGAATTTTTGTATGATAAATTGG